ATTATAAACCTGAATGCAACAACTCAAACAAATCAACAAAAAAGTGCAGTGAGCCAACACAGGGGCACAAAGAGCCTATGGATGAGGGGAGTCTGATTCACTGTGACAGTCTAGGACCGAGTGGAATTGCCCCCAGGGTATCCAGGCTGTCACACTCAGAGAAGCAGACTGCCACATCTTTCTCCCACAGAGAGGCTGGTGGGTTCAAACTGCCAGCAGACCTTTTGATTAGCAAACGAGCACTTCAGCCATGGTGCCACCAGGGCTCCTTAACTAAACCATCTGCCATCAGGCCAATTGTGACTCTTCGCGGCTCTGGAGGGCAGAGTAGAATTGCTCCTTAGGGTGTCTGAGGCTGTAAATCTTTATGGGAAGAGACAGCTTCATTCATCTCTCTCCTGTGAAGTAGCTGGTGGGTTTGAACTGCTGACCTTGAGGTTGGCACTCCAACTTGTCAACCACTAAGCCACCAGGGCTCCTTACAAAGGACATGAAATGGAAAAAACAAAACACAATTAGTCCAACAGAAAAAGGAGCAAAACCCAGAGGGGACAGTAGAAAGCAAATAGAGAGATGGCAGATTTAGGCCCAGCCGTAGCAATAATTAGAGGCCTGGGGTGTAGGGGTGATGCTTTCGGCTCCAAAGTTAGAAACCACCAGCCACTCGGAGGGAGAAAGACGGGGCTTTCTACTCTGGTAAACTCACAGGAGCAGTCACCCCATAGGCTCCCTGTCCTATAGGGTGACTATGAGTCAGCATTGACTCAATGCCGATGAGTTGGGTTTATTAAAAAAATTGCTCTATCAATAACCACATGAATACAGACCAGCTAAACATCCCAGTTAAGGCATAGAACTTGTTAGATTCGATAAGGAAGCACAAACCAATTGCACACTGCCTGCAGGAAGCCTATTCTAAATCTAATGGCATAGACAGATTAGAAGTAAAAGGATGGGAAAAGCATACCAGGGAGGGAGCTGGCCTCTACAGCAAGCTAGAATAGCTTTGCTACTATGGACCCAGATTTCAGAGCCAAGAATATTACCGGGAAGAAAAGTGGTCATTTCACAGTAGTAAAGGGGACTGTTTATTAAGAAATTATGGCAATGCTAAATTCTTTTTGTTGTTGATTTTCCCAGCTTTTATTTCTATTTGGTGTTTCTAAAAGCCTGGAAATTAAGTCTTCTGCTCAGATTCCAAGACCCCCCTGGTGGCGTCATGAAAACTGGTTGGGCTGTTTTCTGAAGGCTCGGCAGTTCCAAACCACCTTTCCCTGCAGGAGAAAGCGAAGGTTTTCTACTCCCATAAACAACTTCAATCTCAGCAACCCACAGGGCGGTTCTCCCCTTTCCTATAGGGTCTGCATTGACTCGATGGCACTCGGTTTGAGTTTGTTTGCTCAAATTCCAAAGTGCAGGTAACTCCTGCTCTCCTATTTCTGGGCAGTGCTAAATTCCTACACACCTAATAACAGAGCTTCAAAGACAGTACTGGGAGATGTTTGGGAGCCTTGGGGGAATGGATAAGTGCTGAGATAGTTAAAGTTTATTGTGCTGACCTGACCGATAAACACATGTGGGAGTAAGTGATGGGCAGAGA